GAGGAAGATATCTAACATACTGAAAGACTCCTCTCGTCTGGGATATCAGCTCTTTAAACTATTACCATCAGGAAGGAGATTCAGGGTATTGAAAGCAAGGACAAGCAGATTCAAGAACAGTTTTTACCCAAATGCAGTATTGAGTTTAAATGCGGGGCCATAGGTTTTTGGTGGAATTTTAATTGCTGAGAGAAAACGGGGTATCTATATTTGGATGGTGAAAGTTGTGTATATTTTAACTTTTTTTTGTAGTGTTGTCCAGTTTTACCTTGGGGAAGAGCACCACATTTCATTGCACCCACTTGTGAGCGCAATGACAAATAAATTTCTTATGTCTTATGTCTTAAGATTGTTTGAGTTTTCCTCCCTCCCTCCCTTCCTTGACCATGCTACCCTGTTTCCCTGAAAATAAGACCTAACCTGAAAATAAGCCCTAGTATGATTTTTCAGGGTGCCTGTAATATAAGCCCTACCCCAAAAATAAGCCCCAGTTAAGTGAAACCCCGCCTTCCACCATTGTGCAGCATTGTGCAGCAACCAGAAGAAGATGACATGACTGTAAAATAAAACATCCCCTGATAATAAGCTCTAATGCATTTTGTGGAGCAAAAATTAATACAAGACCCTGTCTTATTTTCGGGGAAACACGATATATGTGGGACAGCTTGCGGGGCCTTCTCAGCCCTGTTGAGAAAATGGCTGAAATTCAGTCATAAGTTGCAACTGGAGTAGACCTATTGAATCAGTGGAGATTTGGTAAATCAATGCTTATGTAAAGTTCAGTTGATTGAGTAGACCTTTACTAGTTGCAACTTACTACTGGGTTTCAGCCAATTTATTCTGAGGAGAATATTTCACAGTATTCTCATCTCACTTGGCACTGGAAACATACGACATGCAGGGTCATCACTTAAACAGTCTTGCTCTCATGTCATGACCTGAGCTGTGATATTTATATTAACAAAGAGGTGTGCATGTGTGTGTGTGCACAGGGAAGGGAGCGCACTTATGTGTCTGTTTGTCTCTACCATAGCTCCAAGATCATGAAACAAAGACATCTAAAACTTGGCAGGGATACTAAGGCCACGCCAAACCTGACTGCCACGTCTCTGCAAGCTCCTGAATAAAAAGAAAGAGAGAGAGAGAAAAGGACATGCTGCCTGGTTAGGAGGGGGAAGAGAATGGACAGAGGGAAAAGCTGAATGAGCACTTGGACTTTGGGGGAGAAAGACTAGCAAAGATCACCTGGATGAGTGGCTGAGGGACAAGACGGAGCACACACGTAGGTGGGGTGAGGAGAAAGACTGATCGCCTACATGGCTGGGAAAGAAAAAGGCAATGGAGTGTTGAGGGGAGGGCTAAGGAATTTCTGACTCATGAAAAAAACTGGCATTTCTGCCAGAAAGAGAGTAAGAAGATCCAAGTTCCTTAAAGACTGACTGGTGTTGAACAGCCAACAACACAGGCAGCTTGCTCAAGCACCAAAGGTTTGGGTCTGGAGAGGACTTTCCTCCCCTGAAAAAGACATTGCTGAGCAGGGAGTGATTCAGTCCCAGACCTCCTGAGTCCTACGTAGTTCATTATCTCTCCACTGCACCACACTGGGATTTAGCAAAGATTAGTAATCTCTTAGTTCCACTGCCACACCACACTGCTGTATCTCTGCTCTCCCCGTCCAAAAATAAACCTTTTTTTCACTGACATGGGCTTTTGTCCTCCATGTACTTGGTATTCACTTCAACTCACATGGAAATGGAGCTCCTTGTTTAGAAGTTAGGGTATAGAAATTTCACAATTAAATTCATTCAGTTGTTACGGTCTTTTCACCTCGTACTGTATTGTTTGTTCAGTCTTTTTGCATCCTAATGCATCATCATGAACCAACCTTTTTTAAAAATTATTGATTATGATACACAGTGCTGCATGATAGAATGAAAGATGGTTCACAGAAATCTTGTGGACAACAAGTGGACTACTTAGTTGATAGCCAGATTTATATGATAAGCTTAACTGAAAAAACCCAAGCAATGCTTATAATCAGGTACTACTATAAGTTAATTGTCAGTGGCCTTAAATGAGGTTGCTGGAAACTGGTTCCAAGATACAATCAGTTCCATTATTTAACTTCCGAAATTAGTCTCCCTTTAAAGCTTTTCAGGCTTTTACTGTTGCAGAGATGGGGTGGCGAGTGTCAAAAATATTCCCAAAAATATTTATAAGACTATTTATAAGCAGAGGGAAAGGATCTTGTCACTGACATTTATTTATATGACACTTTTAACCTAAGAGTCCATGAAATGCCTATGATCGGGCACTACTTACCGTAAAGCTGATGATCAGTCAGCCCAATTTTGTAATACAACCTACCCACTTAATTAATTTTGGGACATCACCAGTATCCTTGCAGAATTTCATGTGTTTAGCTCTTACTGTTTCAGAGACCTTCTGGGACTACTGAACACACTTTTGAAAATTTTTTAAATGAAGAGAATGAGATTTCAACTGCTGTTTTCTTTTATTGTTTCACAAGTTTGCATTCATTTCTATTCCAGTCCTCTAGAGTGCTGGTGTAAGGGAAGTTTAGAAATTAATCCCAGTATGCAAGAATGTACAATTTGCTGTTTCAGTTCCTTTATCTTCTTTACATCTCTTCTCCTCCCTGCTGCTGATGTTTATAGGTATATTGCAAAATAAATAAACAAATAAACTGTATTTTTAAAGCAATTGTGTGTTCGACCACTGCAAGATTCTTTTTGTATGGTGCAGCACTTGTTAAACAATATACAAAAATAATTTTAATCAAAGCAATAAAACCACATCAGGATTGTTTTTTTTTCCTGTGGATGTTTCATTAGTATGTACAATACAGTACATCTGTACTGGGGTGCACAGATAACATATGCTTTGATTCAGTCAAATTTGTTTGTTTTACACATAACAACCCATTCGCATTGATAACCGAATACGTATTAGAAAGTGTTTGTACATGTTTGTATGGGTCTGAATAGAGGAAAAATATGAAAATGGGGAAAATAAAGGGCTCTGCCCTTGGTTGGTACCATCAACTACTGCTGGACCTTCCAGTTTCCTTCCTTCCCTCCCTCCCTTCCTCCCTTCAGAAACTGTGCAATTCATTCAGCAATGTTCCTGGAAGGGGGGAAAACATCCCCAGTTAATAGCTTTGCTACCTTGTACATCATGTTTGCCACCCAACACATCTAGAACAGACAAGCACAGAGGGGCAGGTGGGAAATGCCAAAGCACTGAAAAAAATAAAAGCTGCCAGCAGGCATTTTTTTAAAAAGTCTTAATTGTGGTGGAAGATAGTTTAGGTTATACTTCTAACACTGCTCATGAGGGCATTAAATAATTTATCCAGGAGTCCATGGTAGGTGTTCCCAGGAGACCACTGGCTTTTCATTGGTGCCGAAAATGTCAGTCTGCTTTGAACTTCCTGGCACTGTTAAAGTAATAGATTTGTTCTCAGAGTGGGAGTTGCTGGTGCCAAGTGATTTTAATTTTTTTAACTGATGTGCCCAAACAATACTGGAGGAACCCAATTTGATTCAAGCACCTTTCGGGTTTCCTCCTATCACATTCAGTCAGTTTAAAAATTGACTAATAGTCCTGTTTCACTTTAGTTGTCATATAAGGTATCTTGTAAAAGCTTTTTTTGTAATGTTTGGTAATTGCAACAACACTTATATTGCAGTGCATGGTGGACCAGGTGAAGACAAGAATATGCTGCAGCATTCAGAGCCAGATATAATTTTTTATTGCTTGTTTATGCTATCTTAAGGGAACTGTAATTCAAATAGTGACTTATCCAAGCTCTGTTTTTATCTCCAGTTTCCCTTTGTTAATGGGGAAGATCTGTAGTGAGACTATTGGCCTCAGCAGTTGTAGTTCTCCACAGGATCAGACATCCTCAGTGGCCACAATTTCTGATCTTGTGGAGTGTTGCCACTGGATCTATTGCATGCACTTATGGCCTCGCTGGAGACTATCCCTCTCATTATGGAGCAGTGGGAGGAGGAAAGCAGATGCGGCAGGGCTAATCAGTGCATTTTTATCTGCTCTCCTTCTCTTCTTTCAGTGCCCACAAGCCTGAAGAGAGGCACTCTTCTTCCATTGACTCCCACATTTACTGTACTTGTCTTCAAACAGTGTAACATTCAGTAACTTCTAGCTGCCAATTAACAAGTTGCTTTTGGGGTTCTTGGTGACGTTTGTCTGCTGGCTTGGTGCAGTCGTCAGAATCCCTGTGGAGGACTCATTAATTGTCAGCTTGGAAGCAGTGGAATATTGTGCTGTTGCTTTCCACATGCTTAGCAAAGCAACAGAATTTCAGCCATTGATTCTTACATGGTTATTATTATTGTTAGATTCATGGGCTGTGCTCCCATAGATAGAGTGGCATTGAGATCATAAACAGCATTAACAGCCTATGTAAATTAGAGATGGAACCTGAGGCCTACAGGAAGTCTGGTTTGCAGAGTTTAGTTCTCTGGTTGTAATATCCAGGGTTAGAATTTCTCTCTGAAAATTATAGTTTATTATGAGAAAATGGAGAACACTTGGGAAAATTAATCTAAAATTAATCTGGAGATGTAAAGTGTGAGTTTACATCTTTCCTCCTGTATTAGCTTTCTTTCTTTTCCAATCATAATTTAAAACACACACATAAATGTGTGCTTTGCCTTCTTACATAAACAGTGCTCTCTCATACCATGTCATGTCAAAGAAATTTCACCAAACATAACCTGCTGACAAACAATGGAGATCAGAGGGATGAAGCACACATACATAGATTTGATGACAGTGCCTTTCTGTGTCTGTGTGCTTGTTTCTTTCATGTTCATTTTAGATCATGCTGCAAAAGAGCAGTAAGGAGAAAATTATAAAAAGTGGAAGAACAAGAAACAGAACAAGGCTGTAAATACAATCTTACAATTAGATTTCCTTCAACATTTTGCCACATCTCTGTTGTCTTCTTGCAGCACTCAGACTCCAACTGTAACCTGAAGAAGCGAATGAACTCCATGACCTCTCAGATTGATCAATCCCCTGAAACAAGCATATTGTCCAACAGTCCATCTCAAGGTCAAAGAGCATCTCTTCCTTCACTGCAGCCGCCACCACCGTCTCCTCCTCCACTACCACCACCAGGATTCGGAGGCCCGAGTAAAATAGATCAGTACTCCAGGATTCTCTTTCCAGTGGCATTTGCAGGATTCAACCTAGTCTACTGGGTGGTTTACCTTTCCAAAGACACCATGGAAGTGAGTAGTAATATTTCTTAGTCAGGTGAAGTCTGAGGGTGTTTCCAGATGCTCGCAGTACTTCCCATTAGAAGAGATTATCCAACTATGCTATCTTTTGGGGTAAGAAAACAGAAGTAAGTGGTGATGGGAAAGCACATAAGGGTTATAAATAAAAGTTTATATAATCAGGACTGCCCTCCACATACAATTCTGAATGAGGGTAAATGCAGCATTGAAACCTCTGGAAGCACTTTCTCATTTGATTGATCTGGTATTCAGTTGGCCACTAATGCACCCATCAATTAAGTTTGTTAACTTAAAGGTGCATTAGTGAAATGAATGATACAACTGGTATCTTAAAGTTAACTTTGATGAACTGTATACAGTTGTGATAAAAAAATCACACATGAAAAAGCATGTGGATGGATCTGCTCTGTACTCTGAATTAACTGACAAGTTGGCTCTTGGAGGAGTGGCATTTATTTATTTATTATGTGTTTATCACATTTATACCCCATCTTACTACTAAGAGATAGCATTCAAAGTCTCTTCCAAACTTTTAAAAGAATCAAAACAGATAAAACCACATTTAGCTAAAAATTATAAAATCATATAAACCCACTGGAAAAAAATTACAATTAAGCAAATACATTAAAAAAAACATTAAAATCAAAGAAAGACACTGATTAGAAACAGCACAGCAGGGCAAGGTAAACATTGTATGCAAGCCTAAAAATGTGTTTTTACTCTCTTCTTAAAATCAATCAGAGTGAAAACCAATCACAGCTCAAGGGAGTGCATCTCATAGTCTAGGAGCCAAACGGGATTGAAGCCTAATTTGGTTTTCTCCTTCTTCTAGCTGAAGCTTATTTCATGTTTAAAAAAAAACTTGCATTACTTTTTGATGGATGCAGATGACTCTAGGGTGGAAGTAAAGTGAACTTTGACTGAACTTTCTTCAGGGTCCAGGCCAAAGTATTAATAAGCTGGTAAGAGGGAAAGATGTAAGTTATATACTGTTACAGATACTGTTCCCTAGGAGACAGAGGATATGGGGCAGTTTGTTGTCTTGACTTCTCATGTGGCCTATCCATGGCAGGACCGGGCCGTGGAGACAGATCTCCCACTCCTCCCACGCACCCCACCTGCACGCATGGCCCACCACCTGCATGCACTGGTGCCCTGCCCCTCTCCAAGCATGCCCCACCCACCTGCAATCATGGGGGGCACCTGCCCCCCACGCACAGTCCCCACCTACCCCAACTGGTCCACTGGGGACACTGGCCTACAACATCGTTTTGGCACTTCATACATTATACCTATTAAGCAGCACACTTTTAAAAAATGGAAATGATATCAGTCATTCAGATATATATTTTAATCCATGAGCCTGTAATTCTACCAGTTCTTAGCTGCACATTAACCCGTTTCACATAGAGCAGAAAATTAGACATTGCGGTTTTGCTCTTACGTGCTTGGCTGAATGGGGTAAGCATTCTAAATCTGAAAATCCCTTTTCATTGGCCAAGATCCAGCAGGACATATTCACTGACAGAACTGTTCTTGACGGTGGAATTGGGAGAGTCAGTCTCCCTTCTCCACTATAGTTGCCATGCACTTCCAAAACCTGACCCATAGCTTTGCAAAAGCCTATGGATGCTGTTTCCAAGGTTTTTCAAGGAATGGGAGAGGGAGAAGACAAGAAAATTGCATTGCAGTGTATTAATGGTAGCACAATGTTGGATTTAGGCCAGTGAAGTTATTACTATTAAATCCTCCCCCTTTTTTGGTTTTTTGCATTATTAACATAGCAATATGAACTTAAATTACACTAAAAAGAAAAAAAGAGTTTAAAATGAGCAAAACAGAACCAAGAGAATAAAACAAAACAGACAGACAGAAGGTCAATACAATACAAAATAACATGGTATTATATACGTTTGCAATAAACTGTCTTATGCATTTACAATGAGCCAGTGAAGGGCTTCCATCTATCTACATAGATATCCACACAGAGTTGCTTTCTGTATGATATTCATTCAAAAGAAGCTAATTGTCTCAGGTCTTCCGACCAAAGAGTGAAGGGTGGAGGATGCTAATCTTCCCAGGCTTTTAATATAAGTCTTTTTGACACCACAAGTGCTCTCAGAATCCAATTTCGTTGACCCTTTGTTAGACCCCATACAGTGGGAATATAATTTAAAAGAATGTGAATATCATGAAATATCAGGGATTTCCCCAAAACTACATTAATACAAGTAAGAACTTCTACCCAAAATAAGTGTGTTACCGGACATGTCCAAACCATATGTATGTATGTATGTATGTATGTATGTATGTATGTATGTATGTATGTATGTATGACCTCTATTCAGACCATAGCTGCCCCTGACTTTTCATTTTATTTACAATATTTTTTTAGCCGCACCATTGCCAGTATTAAGGATGTGTTTCTACAATTGCATCTTCAACATCTATCAGAATTTATGAATTTCATCCTAAATAGCCATTGTGGGGGTCCAATATATTCTAAATATATTCTAAATGCTATTTTTTGTTGGATTAATCTCAATTTCAACTCCAAGGAAACATCTTTTATAGAATCTAGTATTCCAATGCTTAGCTTGTATTTTACTCTCCAATTCCCTTTTCCATATTTCTTTAAGTTTTTGAATATCTATTTTATAAGTATTTATACACTGTAGCTATTGGTTTAGGTTTCTCATTAGATAATCCGTTCCGGATTAACCTTCGCTATGCGAAAACATCGCTAAACGGAAATAAAAAAGCCATAGAAACGCATTGAACTTCGTTCAATGCGTTCCTATGGCTTGAAAACTCACCGTTAAGCGATGTTGTCCCATAGCGCCGCCATTTTCGCGCCCTCGGTAAGCGAGGGCAGGGCGCGAAAATGCGGCGCGGACCTTCCGGCGGCCATTTTGGAACCGCCGATCAGCTGTTCTCCCCCGCTTCGTTTTGCGAAGATCGCTAAGCGAATCCGCTAAGCGAATGCTCCAGCGATGGCCCGGACCCCCTCGCTATGCGAATTCATCGCATAGCGAAGCACTCGCTAAGCGAGGCACCACTGTAAATTCATCATCTGTACCTATTAAGTGGTCTAAGGTTTATATACCACATTCTGCCCACTGTTTCCACAAAAAGGGCTTTTTCTCAATTCTTAGTATTGGATTTCCACATAGAGTGCAGAAGCCTCTGTGCTGCAAGGTTGGAAGACCAGCAGTCATAAAATCAAATCCATGTGACGGAGTGAGCTCCCATCGCTTGTCCCAGCTCCCGCCAACCTAGCATTTCGAAAGCATGCAAAATGCGAGTAGATAAATAGGTACCACCTCGGTGGGAAGGTAACAGTGTTCCGTGCCTAGTTGCACTGGCCACGTGACCATGGAAACTGTCTTTTGACAAACGCTGGCTCTATGGCTTGGAAACGGGGATGAGTACCTGCCCCTAGAGTCGGACATGACTGGAATAAATGTCAAGGGGAACCTTTACCTAAATATGTTAATACCTCTGGACACTGACAGAACTGCCATTTTTAATACAATTAAATTCTTCTTTGAGCCCACTGTGTTTGCCACAAGACAGGAATATGGTGAAAACAGAGCATCTTCTAACAGTATGGTGCTACCTGAGAGTCTCAGGATCAGCATCAGAAGTGCACTGGAAGATTTCTTGGATTACTGCATTATTTAAGAATCCTGCTTGTTGTTATCTCTGGTATAATTTATGTGGATATTGTGGCTAGTTCAAAACATGCTATTTGTGGTGATATTACTCATGGTAGTAGCATTTGGAGCACAGGACCTTGGGGTTGTCAGGCTCTGACCATCACATTTTTTCTCTGGAAAAATGTGGGATTAATATTGAAAAGCTGACAGATGTTTAATTGCAGAGCCATGCATGGCAATACAGTATTTATAAATAGTAGAATTGAGATGCAGTATTAAAATCATTGGTGTAAGAGGGCAGACACCCTCTTCTACATAAGATCAGTTTGTAGTTAATTTAGATGGAATGTACCACTATATACCAGTGCCACGTTTCATAATTTATCTATTCTAAACACACTTTTCTGATAATCACAGTGATGTCGATTACTTGGCAAATTAGCACAGACAGGCACAAGCCAGATACAGAGAGGGATGGTGAAAGAATTCCCCTCTCCCACATCATTTCTGTTAAAAGAGATTGCCTCTGTGAATACAAAATTAAGGATGAGAGAACATTGATTTTAGAAGTAATACAAATAGTTGTCCAGTCTTTGGTTGAACTGTTATGATGATGTTAAATTTCAAGGATATGCTGTGAGTCAATAACAAATAACAGCTGAGTTTCTCAGGGAAAGCATAGGGCTAGCTTTGCTCAGAATAAACTTTGCACTGTATGGTTGGGGAGCGAAGCATCATCATAAAAAAAAAGTGGGGAGTTGTGCAGAATGAGGAGTGAGTGGAAACAGGACCAGAAAAAGGACAGAGAAACCTTCTTGAAGGAAGGATAGAAGGTAGGATAGACGCTATAAAAAGTGCACCGAAGGTTTTAAAAAATCCCAATAAAAAAAGGGAACATAGGAAAATCTTGACATATGACCTAGTGATAGGTGGAGGAGGAACAGGGTAATAATAAATGGGGAGTGAAACTTGGGAGAAAAGGAACAAAGACCAAAGTGGGGGCAGGAAATCAAATGAGGCAGGAATAGGAATAAGCTAAAATAAAGAGAGGCTAAAATCCATGTATTGATTTGAAATTAACAGCCAAATCCTTGGCTCTGAGATAATTTGCTAGAAAGTCTTTTGTTACGTCTCTCAAAATACACTATTTTACTGTCTACTTCTTGGTGAAAACCGTTTCCACCAGTGGATTAAGGAGAAGGTGAATCCTGCCTTTAGCTGCTTAAAAGATAGTTCAGGAACCCCTTGGGAACAAATTTGTGGTGTTGTGCAGAGGAGAGGAGGGGAAGAGAACTCTGAGGCTCCTCCGTTGTGGAGCATTGGGTGTAGGCA